TCAGCCTATTTGCTATTTATTTATTTTTCAGTTAACCGCTCAATTCCTTTTGGTCTCTTGTCAGAGGCAGCCTCGTATTCAAGAGCTGTATTTCCAAAACCGTTGGTACTTGAACACTCTCATGTTATGCTCTTCAAACCAATATACAATATGTACTTTTATCCTGAATTTGTGCTCATAAATAACTAAAATAGATAAACTTGTTTCACTCTCCACATATTAATACAGTTGGACTTCTTTAAAGCATTAGATTGAGTCAAGCACTCTTTCATGTGGAAATCTTTAGAAAAGCTTGGAAGTTTGGATGTCTCGATAGGCTTAGGGCAAGGCACCTGTTTAAGATATGCCTAAAAAAAGCAATAGTTGGGTAGCGTCCCTTTGTTATTTATAATGGTTGGCTTTTTTGTAAAATCTAGTGGCATTGAAGCAGAAATACAGATAAAACAATTTGCATATTGTGATAAAGTTCATTATTTTCTGTTATGTACACTAGATAAACATTAGACTTTCATATATTTCAGATTCATTTATAAACAACTGAAATAGTTCAAGCCTTTTATTGTTTTAATGTTTAATAACCTCAAAAAATTACCATATTTCATCAGACCAATAAAAAAAAGTGTTTTTAATACAAAAAAAAAGTAAACCTTCAAATAATTCTGTTCAGTTCTGCACTCAATACTTGGTCGGGAATCCTTCTGTAGAAGTGACTGGTTGAATGGGGCGTGGCATGGAGGCTATCAGCCCGTGGCACTGCTGAGGTGTTCTGGAGGCACAGGATGCTTCGATAGCGGCCGTAAGCTCCTCCAGAGTGTTGGGTCTTGTGTCTCTCAACGTTCTCTTCACAATATCCCACAGATTCTCTACGGGGTTCAGCTCAGGAGAGTTGAGCACCAGTAATACCATGGTCAGGAAACCATTTACCAGTGGTTTTGGCGCTGTGAGCAGGTGCCAGGTCGTGCTGGAAAATGAAATCTTCATCTCCATAAAGCTTTTCAGCAGATGGAAGCATGAAGTGCTCCAAAATCTCCTTATAGCTAGCTGCATTGACCCCGCCCTTGAGAAAACACAGTGGACCAACACCAGCCGCTGACATGGCACCGCAGACCATCACTGACTGTGGGTACTTGACACTGGACTTTAGGCATTTTCCTCTCCCCAGTCTTCCTCCAGAGTCCAGGGGTGGGCAAAGTCATTCCTGGAGGGCCGATGTCCCTCCTGGTTTTTGTTCCAGCCCTGCTTCAGTACAAATACTGCCAACTTTAAACAAGCCAAAGAGAGCTTAATTCACAGGTGGGCAAGGAGGGCGGGCCATAGTTTAGTTGCAACCTTCATGAAATAGACCTGATTCTACTAAATTAGCTTTCTTGGTTTGTTTAAAGCTGCCAGTGTTTGTATTGAAGCAGGGCTGGAACAAAAACTAGGAGGGACACCGGCCCTCCAGGAATGACTTTGCCCACCCTTGCTCCAGACTCTGGCACCTTGATTTCTGAATGACGCGCAACAGTCCAGTGCTGCTTCTCTGTAACCCAGGTCTTACCCATGAACGAGGCTTGGAGTTTTTAAAAGCCTCAGGAATCTTTTGCAGGTGTTTAGAGCTAATTAGTTGACTCAGAGGATTAGGTTCATAGCTTGTTTAGAGAACCTTTTCATGATATACTTTTTTTTAGGTTTTCATGAGCTGTATGCCAAAATCATCAATATTAAAACATTAAAAGGTTTGAAGTACTTCAGTTGTGTGTAAATGAATCTGAAATATATGAAAGTGTAATGTTTATCAGTACAATAAAGAAAATAATGAACTTTATCAAGATCCTGAAATGGTAAAAGACATATAATGACATCAGCTTGAGGATGATACAACCCTGTACCTGATGGAAGCAGAGCAGGTTCATTCATTCATTTTATTTACCTGCATCTTTTTCACTTCAGGGAAAGGGACGGGGTACACCCTGAATAGGTCTCAGGGTGTAACAAGCAGAGAAGATTAATTGAATACCTGGATTTTGTCACCAGCTTGAATTAATAGTATGAATATTAAATAACAAGGAATAATTCGTTTCAACATGCTCACTGTGTTTTAATAAACAGGCTGTTGAAAAATGTAACAAAATCAGTCAATATGTTTAAGAGAAAGATGACACAGGAAAGAAAAAAACCACACAATTAAAACATAGAACGTATTCTATAATAGTTTGTACCATGGCATTTAAAACAATCACCGAGCAAAATAGCAGGAATGAGCTGCTTATGATTGTGTGAGATTTATAGTTAAAATACATGTTCACTGATAATAGATTCTAAGATAAGAAAACAATCTAATTGTTGAACAGCTTAAAGCTGTGACATACAGACCCACTGCCGCGGCGTTATTTTGGGACGTTGGGGTGTTACGTCATCGTGGTTACAAGAGTTTACATTGTCCCGGGAATTTCAACAGCAGACCAGTGTCAGCCAATCAGAAGCGCCGTATGACTTCCCTCAGCCAACCAGAAAGCAGCTCGTCCGTCAAACTGAACCGATGACATTACACGAGGGGCTTTTTCAAACTCATCATCGTAATCTTCCACACACACAGACCGTTTCTTTTACTAGTGAGTATATGACACTACAGAAGTAAATCTTTGAAGTCCAGGGTCTTTTAACTGTTTATTTTACTACTTTACAATTTGCTCTAACAAACAAATGACCTCTTTTTATGGCAATGCTTGATATAATTTTTTTTGTACAACCCCAGCTTCTTTTTTGTTTTTTTTACAAATGTTTTTTCTTTTTCGAGTACCAAATTGTAAAAGCAAAAAACAACAGTTATTTTTATCAAAAATCTAAATTGTTGAGATGAATTAAACTCATAAATCCCCCAACAATGCAAAGACAAGGTCAAAACAATGAACATTTATTGAGACAAAAGCAAAAAAAAATCTACAAACTGTTCTGCTCTATTATCCGCTTGTTAAGTATGACGTCGCTGTGCTTCTGGGTCCTGGTGCTCCTCTCTCCCATTGCAGACAGGGCAGAAAGTGCAAAAAGGGGGCTGATTCGATTTAAAACACTTTAAACGCGTTTTAAATTGAGCGACACATGTTAAAAAAGCTTGTCTGCTTTGCACATCACTTGGATGCGAGTGCTCTTATCCTCCATTGGCACAGCTTACAGGTTCACCACCTGGTTCCGGAAAAGCACGGAAGTGAGAGATGTCTGGAATTTAGGTCGACTCCAAGGGCTCGGACGGGAGGTCCTCATAGGACCAGGGACAAATCCCAAGAATTTACTACGGATGTTCTAGCAAGCCGAAGCCTCCTAGTGCCCTGGAGGAATGTCACTGTTAGTTTGTGGGAGCTGACGGATTTCCCTTTGACCGGTCGGAGGGAAATCACTGACCTTCAGGGTAGAGGGTGAAGATATATTGGCAGGAGGGGCAGGACTGTAAGCCTGCTTCGAGAACACAGGGGTGTGCACTACAGCACGACGACGAGGGCCCTGAGGCCGCAGGCGAATTCCTCTGGCCCCCCTACCTTGAACCTGATGAGTGGGTGGGTAATGGGGATGGAGGACAATGTGCTACACTGGCGTTCCCGAATGGTGAGGCATATGACGTGGCACAATAAGTTAGCACAACCTCTCAAACAAAATGACAAAAGACCTCAGAAATAATTGTACAAATTCAAACGATTGTGAAAAACGTAACCGTGTCATGACATCAGTGTTCTTCAAGGTCGCATCAAATTTACGTAGTGAATCTGTAATTATTCACGGCATATCGACACTTTCTGGTTGCTTACTATGGTGGGTGTGGGCTCAGTCCCAAATGTTTTCAGGCCCAAGAAGCGGCCCTGGCTTCAATGTTTAGTTGTTATTCAGGGTGCTTTACAAAAAAAAAAAAAAAAAACATTTTCATTCAGTGTTTTTTTAACCGTCAGAACATTACAATTACTTCAGATTCTTTGGAACGCTTAAAAGTGAATGCTCTGTATGTTTACACATAAACACACTCTGTACTGATGCTTTGACCTTATGCTGAGGTAATCTGTCTGTAGGGAATAAATAACCATGCTGACTGTAAATCAGACGAGTAAATTGATCTGCACCGGAGCACAAACATACCACACGCTGTAATAAAACTGATTTGACCATCACAAAAGCCAAAGCATGGTTCCATCAAGGCCAGTTACCCCCATCGGCTGCCAATAGCTTTACTCAACAGCAACAGTTTCTCAACATACTGCATTCAGACAAATCTTACATAATTAAACGACTCATGCCGTGATTTGTAATCTAATCAATTGAAAACGTGTCATAATGGAATCGTTCACACATTATCCGATTGTAAATTCACTTTTGTAGAACAAAGATCATTTCTTTATGCATCGCAAATAAAAGAGATGTGCTGAAAAAACTGGAAAAGTATTTTTCAAACGTACACAACTCACTTTATTAAAACGAATGAAATGGAGAAGAGAGACGGAAGAAGAGAAAGGTTTTCGTGTGCATCCTTCTTTTAAACTGTAAAGTTTTCTTCCATCTCTAATAACCAATAAATAAACTTTAAACACTACTTTTTGCAATCTGAAAAAGGTTAGGGAATAATTAAAACGTAATAATGAATGTTTGCCTTTCCTTGTTGCTGGATGACCACTAGAAGGCAGTATAAAACAGGTACGTACCTGAGTTACAAAGAGACATCACACTGCACATGCAGGGAGTTCTGGGTAATTGTTGGACCCATCACTGAATAAATTGTGAATTATTCAATGATGACGTGCTTCAGAGTTCTATAAATGTGTTTATGCTGCGGTTTGTACTTTGTGCAAGTCTCTTTAGAGAATTTAGGTTATAATCAGGGTCCTCTAAACACGTGTAAGGTTCTTTTATAGCTTTATTTATAACTTCTAAATTTATAACTTATTTAGAATTTTTTTACATTTGCATTTATGCATTTGGCAGACGCTTTTATCCAAAGCAACTTACATTTAAATGAACATTTTTTTTCTGTCAGTTCTTGCTTTCCTTGGGATTTGAACCCACAACATTTGCGTTGTAAGTGCAATGCTCTACCAACTGCGAAGATGCGAAGAAAATTTTGAGATACGAACAACCACAAACAGTTCGGCTCTATTTTTCAGCGCTTCCCCGTCCTTGCGCTCCTTTCTCTTTTTGAAGTGTGCTTTAAGGGGCTGATATGTGCTATAACAAATGTTAGAGTCAAGGTGTCGTAAAAGAAATAATGTTTATAACGTGGAAAGTGCTGTTCTGTAGCGCAACTTAAGAGAAACCCTGTGACGCGTTCTCAGAAGCGTCTCTCCAGTACGATCGGTGCTGTCACCGCTTGTGCTTGAAACTGTGTTGGTGTCAGTAATTCGTGAAATATCTCGAGAAAGTTAACTTTCATACGTAGTGCTGTAATGTTTTCTGCATCCGTTCCTCCTCCTCCGACACATCGCTTCACTCTCAAGGTAAGGTTTCACATTTGTGTACATATTACGTATTTTATTCTGTTTTATTATCATTTATTACATTAACAATGTGTAGATTTAAGGATTGAAGAAACGTTACTTGATTTTTCTCTGGTTTTCCATTTTTTTCATCTACTTATACTGTTGTTTCTGAGAGCCGTTGCACGGATTAGACGTTTTACATCAAAAACTTGCTTCGAGATACGAATGTCACCCTGGAACGGATTCATTTTGTATCTCGGGGACCACTGTATCCGCAATATAATATATTCGCGATATACCGGTATATAATTTATTATATATTTTGTGATCTCTCGAAATCATTTACCAATAGTCATAAATCTCCATTGAACAACAATCCTCGATTGATTTTTGACTAGTCACAAATGTATTTAGAGATATCTACAATTATATTTGTACTAGTCGTAACTCTTTTAAAGGTATCTGCGGTATAATTAAAGATATCTCTAAATTTTGTACGACTAGCCAATAATCTAATTGCCGATATCTTCATTGAGTTTTTTTCACAGAAACTATATCTCACTAAATTAGAATATCATGACAGTCCATCGTTTCAGTGAAGAGCGCTGACTGTTTTAGACAGAAAAGGGCATCTTTTGTCGTTCGCCTCTTTGCAGATCTTCACGGGGGAGGCCATGCCATGGAAAGGAAAAAAAGAAATTATATTTGTACAGTGTTGTGTACTTTAGGGTTATTTTCAGTTTAAATTCATCATTTTGGGTGGGTTTTTAATACTCAAAATACCTGGATTTCACAGATTCCAGATCAGTGTGCGTAGCTCATGCCGTACAATGGTTTGGCTGTCTGTACAAGTACTTTTTCTGTTTCCATTACATAGTTTAGCTGGTGCACATGACAAACAATGGTTTTTGTTTTTAGTTCTCCTGTAAACCCAGAGATTACAACAATAATTATTATTATTATTATATTAATTATATCAAACGCAGCCGCTCTGTTTTTCTTTCATATTGTTTAGCCTCATTTTCATAATGGAGTCTACATCTCTAAACTCCAAATCTGACTAGCGGGAGAAAGAGAGAAACCTTTTCTTTTCTAATGCGTCTCTCCAGATTGTTTTGTTTGTCTCCCTGAAACGAACCCACCATCGATCATTTCTTTGTGTGAAGTCAACCGGTTAAAATGGAACGGGAGCACAACCCCCCCCCCCTCCCCCCCCACACACACAGTAAACAAGGAAAGAGAGTGCTCTGTTTCCTTTATTCGAGAGACAGAAATAAACAGGAGCATGAGAGTGCTGGAGCTTCTTATAGCTCATAATGTTTGACAGGTTCTGGCTGAACGGCCGGATCTCCTCCCTTCTCCAGATACAGGTTGTTGTAAGGATACTGTTTGGGTCCCTGCAAAGTGAAAATAATTCATTACTAATCAATCGTCACAAATTCCATTCATTTGTGAAGCACTTGATGGAAGAAGTTTCTTTCCTCCTCAAAATGATGTCACGTTTAAAAGCCACACTGTTCCACTCACCACGGGCGGGTAGCAGGGGTACGTAGACCCGAAGTAAAACATGATCGCAGAGAAGCCCAGGAAGCCACAGAGCCAGCGGACCATGGTGCGCCAGTCCAACGGAGTCGGGGAAGTGTCCACACGATCCAGAGTGTACATGTCAAACTGATAGTGCATCTGAAACACACACACACACACAGCCTTCAAGAGAACTCTGCCCAAGCTGAAAGAGCCTCACACACATGAACTGACCTGGGATCAGTCATCTGAACTTCAATCTTGGTCTTTTGGATGAAAATGATTCTAGTCATGTATTCAACAATCTAATAGCTTTAGTCACATTTAAGTGGTGGACGGAAATCTAAATATTTTTAGTCTAGTTTCAGTCAATGTTGATTAATATTCCTTTTTAATATTCATTTTATTTCACAAATGAATGCTAAATTTCACATTGTGACTGTCCATAGGTTTTTTATTACAAACATAAAGTTATGTAACCTACTAAGGATTAACTTTCACAAAATAAAGTGTTAATACAATAGATATTCAACAACCTGATATTCTTTCAGAAAGTTAAAATGTTTAATAAATATGATTTCTTGTGACGAGATTAATTAATAACCAGCTTAAAGCTTAGCACACAATACGCTGCTAACTTTATTAGCGAGCGTCCGAAGAATCAACGCTGTTATTAGCACAGCTCCATCTCGTTGTTTTATGGCAAGCTTTTTTTACCATTAAAACATCTGACCCGACTATCCATAAAAACATTTCGAGGTATCTTTAATTCTAATGGCACTAGTTCGAAAGTGAATTAGCTATATTTTATATAAAGCTTATTTGAAGATAACTGCACTATAATTAGATACATCTCGAAGTAATTTAAGACGATTCATTTAGAGATATCTCTAATTCATTTATGATTCAAACTTCTCATGTAAGTCCCCTGGGGAGCAGGTGCCTCGTGTGTGCAGCGCGGCCGCTGGTGGGCGTGACCAGACAAGGACAGACCGGTGGACACTTTATAAATATAAACGAGAACTCGAGCGCGTCTCGTCAGGTTTTCGTTTCGTCACTGAACTTCTAAACCAGGCGTGTCAAACCACAGCCCTGCTCAGTTTGGCTCCAATCACAACTAAACACAGCTGATGCCGCTCGTTAGGTCCTTCGGGATGTTTGTAAGCTTCTGGTCTGGGTTTCTCGGGGCAGGGCTGGTTCCTCCAGGAATTGAGTTTGACAGCCCTGCTCTGAACGACAGGATGTTCGTTTATTTACTTTGCATCTTCTTTTCAGTGGCTAACAGAAGTCACTAGAGCACAACAACAGACCGAATCTTTAAATCCAAACGCAGCCCCAAACATTCAAAGCACCTTGACCATGCTTCACCGTCGTCATTGCACGGTTCTCCACAACTTCTTTGAAAAAAGCGGTTTGTGCTGCAGCCATATTTCACATTTTTGGTCTTGTTCCCATGTTGACGACACTTCTGGCCAGGCTTCCTAGCTGAACCTGGATCTCAGTGACTGAGCTGATGGATCTGCTGGACGTTTTCGCAGGTTGATCCGCTTGAAGCATTGACTGTTACTTTGAGCTTCTTCAGCATCTTACCACCGCCGTCCGCTTTGAAGCCTTTGTCTGAGAGAAACTACTCGAACTCGCCCTTTCTCCACCCGTCTCCTACACAGCGGTTTCCGTCTCCACGTGATCATTTGCAGCTATAATTCTACAAAACTTCCACCAAACGTAGATCTAATGATCGCTGAGGCTGCTTTGAATGCAGGAACACAAAAAATGTATTCGATTTTTTTTTTTTTACAAAGGTTTGCTCACTGAGCAGCATGTAGTGGGCATAGGCGGACATCACGATATCGTTTATCGTGCAGCACTGGAACAAACAAAGATGGAATATAATCTGTTTTCCATACCGGTTCTCCCCAGTTCCTCCTCATTTGCGTATTGTCCCATTCATAGTATGGGTCTCTCTCATGCTGGGAGCGGTTTGGAAGCATGGGGTAGTCACCGTTCCTGTGAAGAAATGAAAAGCATCAGCAGCTTTAATAATAGCATGGAATCAAACTAGAGGATTCTTTGTGCATCATAAACACGAGGAGCTAGACTCACAAATGAAACACTCTCTTTTTTATCTACGAGTGAGTGTGAAGAAAAACCAGTGAAAAGTAACAAAAAAAATTTGCAATAAAAATAAACAATAAAATAAACAATATTGTTCAATAAAAATCCTTTAACAATAAAAACATTATAATCCACACGGCGGATGTTATCAGCTCTTCAGATGAAGATGTTTCATCTTCACATTGTAAACGTGATGAATTCGTGTAATATTAGCCGTGAACCACGGCGTGACGTCATCTTCCCGGGACTTTTACCACGGCCCAATCTTTAACTAAATCTCTCCTGAACATCCCTGTTGCCATCTGTGAGGGGCATCAAGCTCAAAAAGCCACACAGAGGCGTGTGCAACTGAAACAACACCAACCACAGCTTCCAGCTACGAAATGTTCGAGATACGAGAAGTCTCGCTGGAAATATTTTGCATCGAGATACGAAAAAAAACCAACAGTTCTGCTCTATTACCTAAGCCTCCGGGTTCTGCGCTCCATTCTCCCATTGCAGACAGTGCTAAAGGGGCTGAGGCGCTTTAAAACACTTTAAATCAGTTTTAAATCGAGCGAAACATTACGTATAGATTACCAATAATGTACTATAACAAATGATAAGAGTCAAGGCGTCGTAAAACGTGGAAAGTGCTGTTCCTGTGACACGTTCTCACTGATCAACATATAAACATTTAGAAATTTGATTGCTCAGTTGTAAATAGTTTATTTTTATGTTGATTGTATGTTTTGTACAAAATGTTCAGGTTTTTAGTTTTTTTGTCTAAGTTTACAAATTCGAGTGTTTCTCAAAAACTAAGCAATGAATTCACTCTGAATAAATTCACTGTGCTTCAAAGCTTTTTGTGCAACTGTTTTACAACTGTTTTTAGAAAAAAAAAATTCTTTTTTTGTAGTTTTGACACTTTTTTTCAGTTAATGTTGAACTAACTCTATTAATATTATTAAAATCTAGGATATAAGGGTTGTATTGATGTTTGACAAATGAAAATAC